GGCGTTTCTGCAGCCGTGCATGCTGATCTACCGCCTTTCCACCGCGCGCAACTCGTCTCCCTTTCTGCTGCTTTGCCTCTCTGCCAACCACAGCCAGGCGTGATCGCTTCTCGGTGGCTCGCGCGCACATGTCGCGCTGGATCCCGACGCCGCTGCAAGCCCGGCTTTTGGCTGGTTATAATAAGTCCGGCAGGCTAAATGCTCTCCCCCCCTTTGTTGCCTTTGTTGCGGTGCGGAAATACGATCGCAATTAGCGCCCTAACAAATTCACGCTCCGCCCTCCATCACACCTGATCGAGCAACGACTCGATTCATCGTCACGCATCGACGCCTTCCACATCTTGTCCCTTGGGATGTCGCCTGAATGAGACTCGGATGCGTATTGCTACAGCGTCGAAACGCCTGTATAGACGGGCGCATGTCGTTGGTGCATTGGTGCCTTCATGACACTGCCCGCACTGTACGCACGTCTCGGATCGCTTCTTCGCCCCTCGGCGCATTCGACCTTGGCACCTTTTTTCCTCCTGACGCCAGTCTGAAGGTCCATGCATTGGATACGAAATGCCGCTTTGTTGTGGATCCAGACTCGCTTGCAAATGAAGTTTGGATGGATCCGCGCGCCACGTGTGACACAGATTGCGCATGATATGGACGACGACGGCCCTTTCATCTTGTCGCTCCCCGTTCGAGTCGTGCACGGAGCGCCAAGCGTGAAGATCGAGGGATCCGTGCCACACGCCGTCTCAATGGCGCGACCAAGCCAACACACGCACCCATGGGGTGGGTGCTGTGCGTTAGTGGGTGCCGAGCGTGCTCTGCTGCAGCCTCCTCATCTCTTCGCATGGTGGCAACCTCCCCTCGCAGCCTCTTTTCCCACCCGCTCCAAGGGGCAGCTTCCATATATACCTCCAGCACGATTCCGCGATTGCGCTTCATCTCATCCCCACTGCACTCTACGAAGCGTTGCCGAGATGGTCAAGCTCGCAGCATGGCTCGCAGGCAGGCCGGTGGCGATGCAGCTGCTGGTGTGTATCGTGATTGGCCTGCGCATGGTCTCTGCCACCGTCCAGGCGTTCACCTGCAGTCTCCGCCAGACGCCCTCCGTCGCGCAAACACAAGAACCTCACCCACTCATGACAAACAGCTGGCAGCAACCGCAGTACGGCAAACAATCACCGAAAGCGCAGGCTCGGGCTGTGAGACACCGGCCACAGCAGGTCGCGGCCGACTTTTCGGAGCAGAACCGAGATGTCCCCACGGGAGCATTGCTGCAGCAGCAGGACGAAGCACCGTCCAGCAGTCTTTCCACCGGACTTGCGACAGGTTCAAGCAGTTCGAGTCTCGGACTTCCCAGAAGTAGTGCGGACCCCTCTGGCAGTTCTAGCAGCCTCGATCCGCATTCTCTGGACGAAGACGAACTCGGCAGCGTCAATTCGACTTTGAGCGACTCGCCGCTTCCACTCGCATCGACATCAGCTTCACCGGCCTTGGATCCGCCCGCTACCTCTTCGAATCTTCCTATTCCAAACCCTCCTGCTCAACAAAATGGCGGTGGTCAGACAAACACCACGGCGCCCAATCCATCAACAACGAGCTCAAACACCGCCTCGCAGGCTCGTCCGATTCAAGGGCAGGAGCAGGACGGACGCTCGCGGTCGACGTCGCGTACGCAGGCGATTGTGGCGGGCGTGACGGTGCCTGTCGGCGTAGTCGCGCTGGGGCTGGTAGCCTTTCTGATCCTGCACAAGCAGCGGCGGCAAAGAGCGCAGTCGGCTGAAATACAACGCGGCGATTCCGACCCCGAGCAGGGCGTTTCCTCAAGCAGTTCACCCGCAGACGCAGCGACTCAGGAGACACTTGGCGAGGCTCACGGTGCGGCTGAGGAGGCAGCCTCCGAGACGTCGACGGTTGTGCCGCATGTACCGATCAACGAGCAGATCGAAGAGCTGGACGAAGAGCATGCGGACACCGAGATTGCTGATGGAGATGCGGCACAGAGGGGCCGATCGCAAGCAGGTGTGACATCGGAAGCAGAAGGCAGCAGGGGCGCTGTGGGTCGGCCATCACCACCGCAAGGCCGAGCCCGCTCGCTCAAACGCAAGCCTCCGCCGCCACTCACCGCCTCGATCGACGCAATGCCCTCCCGACCAACGCTACTTCAACAGGATCAAAGTCGAGCCCAGTAGCAAACCAGATCTCGTGATGGAAAGTGGGTTGGGATTGTGCAGTGTGACCGTTTGAGAAAGGAGGGGGTTTGGGCGTGTGACTGTAAAAGAGGGGGACGGGTGGTTGGGGCAAATGCAGGGTCCAAGCCAGCTGCACCCTCGGATCCCGCCGATGCCGCGCGAAATTTGGGTCAGCGGGTGCCGAGGTGCGGCCAAAATTGCAGCTTGAGCCTGGTTGGGGGGGGTGAGGAGAGGATCTTGCTGCGCACCATCATCGCCATCTCTGGCCCACTCATTCCCCTCACTCTGCATCGACTTTGGAGCTGCGCATCGCACTGACATTTGCGTCTGCATACTAGGACTCGATGTAACACGGGCTGCTGGGCGGCAAGCTGCGCCAACCATGACCTCGTCCTCTTCGCCCACCGCACCTTCTCTCTCCACCTCTTCCACCTCGACCTCGTCATCGCCACCGCCTGCGCTAGAGTGGCTCCCCCACTCCACGCCCCGCTACGCCTGCGCCGACTGCGGCGCGCATCTAGCTCTCCAAGTAAGCCCACCCCCACCTCCTTTTCTCCTTCCTCAAACCTTGGCTGACTTTGCTAAATCGTGTTCGCAGGACGAGTTGATCAGCAAGAGCTTCTCGGGCCGCGACGGCAAGGCGTACCTCTTCGCCTCTACGATCAACACCGCTCTCGGCGCACAGGAAGAGCGGCACCTGCTCACGGGCATGCACACCGTGTGCGACCTCAGCTGCCGCGGCTGCGGCCGCACGCTCGGCTGGTTCTACCTCAAAGCGTGGGAGGCCTCGCAAAAGTACAAGGAGGGCAAGTGGATCATGGAAAAGGCGAGCCTGCACAAGATCAACGCATGGTAAAAATTGCATTCTACACGCCGATGTTGGTGCCGCGGTACACGGTGATGCGCTTATCCTTGCCGCCCGCCACGAGCTGCTGGCCATCCTGGGACCAGTCGAGCGCCAGCACGCCCTCGGCGCCGGCGGTACCGAGCACAAAGAGCGGTTTGCGCGACGAGCGCGTGTCCCACACCTTGACGTGCGAGTCGGCGCTGCTTGCCGACGCGAACATGACCGTGCTGGTCGGGTGGGCGCTGAGTGCATCAACAGCTCCACGGTGCGCGTTGGCGATCGCGACGCCCAGCGCGGCCGTGGTGGCGTCGGTGCGAATGTCAAAGATCTGCATGGCGCGGTCGGTCGCTCCGGCCACCAACGCCGTGGGGCCGAGTTGGGCGAGTGCGGTGATCGGGCGTGATTCGGCGGTCGAGGTGGGCATCGAGAGCGAGGTGTGCAGCGTTCCGCCCGACGAAAGGTCCCAGCCCTTGAGCCCGTTGTACCCTGCCGACCAGGCGCGGTTGCTGTCCCTGCCCGTGGCCGTGCGTTCGAAGAGCACTGCGCTTACACGCGATGCCGAGGTAAAGACGTTCTTGGCCCCGGTCGCCGCGTGCGCTGCGGGAGCCGCGTGCCACAGCACCACGGTCGGCTCCTTGACGCCTGCTGCCCTCGCGCCGCGTGTGGACTTCGCCGCCCCGCTCGCCGTCTTGCGACGCTTGGCACCATCGTCGCTGTCGTCGTCGTCGTCGTTGTTGTCGGCGGTGGTGGTGGAGGGTACGTCGTCCCAGAGCGCCACGATGCCATCCCAACCTGCGCTTAGCACCGACACGCCCGCGGGACCCTGGGCCACGTCCACATCCGCCACGGGAGCATTGTGCGCCACGCCACCCCACTTTCTTGCGCTCCTCCATCCCTCGTCGTGCTGCACGCTCCACATCTGCACGCCGCCGTCCATTCCGCCCGTGACGATATCGCCCTCTGGGGTCCATTTGGCCTTGGTGAGTGCGGTATTCCTTCCGCCCTGAACCGCGGCCTTGTTGACGGTCGAGAAGGTGTGCACCGCATTGGTCGCATCCGTCGGTTCGAATACACGTACACTTCCATCAAAGCTTGCGGTCATGTACAGCGCCTGTCTGGAGCAATCGACGCTAGCCACCCAGTCATCGTGTTCGAACGCCGCGAGCCTGGTCGGGGGCAGGGTGGAGCGGACGTACTCGATGGCGAGTGTAGATTCGGCGGTGAGGCCGGAGGATTCGAGGAACTCGCCCAGAGAGGTTCGGAGGAGGGCCGAGTCGATGATAAAGTCGAAGGGGACGGTGGTGAGGCCGGTGGAGGAGGAGGCGACGAGTTTGTTGACGAGGGTAGAGAGGTGGGTGCGTCGCCAGGAGACGGGCACCATATAGGGGCCTGAGGGGATTGCGTATTCGGTGAGACTTGTGGTGAGCATGATGGGCACGGTTGCTTCGGCCGCAGTGGCCGAGGACGATGCCATTGCTACGTCGCTGAGTGAAGTCATGGTCGGTTATCGTAGTGTTATCGTAGTGAGGTGGAGAGAAGCAGAATTGCACCAAGGAGGGGGGAATGTTTTTTTTGTCTCACACTCGCGACTGCCAAATTTTTCTTCTACGCTCAAAGCTGCAACGCACATCCGAGTTCCGAAAAGCCCACAAACAACGTTGTATGCACTGGCCACCCGGGGCATTGCTACGAGGGTACTCGGATGTCGACAATCACCGGCCTGCAATGCCAAAAGGTCAGCCCGGATCCTGCCTGTGCGTAGCGGAGGTGCGACTTACTGAGCAACAACATCGTACGAAACTGCAACTCCAACCGGCCCTTTGTCAGCTTTCGCCCATTCGGCTGGGAACGAGGTTGGGGGGTTGGGGGGGTTGGGGCACTTACACTTTCGTTGCGTGTTCCACAGGGCTTGATCGTACTCGACGAGTGCGGCATTGACCAGCACCGTTTCACCCTGCTCATGGCACAGAATATGCGTGCCACGCGCTTCGTGGATATGGCCAAAGACGTGTAGCTTTGGATGCAGAGCATCTTTGTGGTCGTGCGCGGCGGTTAGGCGGCGTTTAAGTTCCTGGCAGCCTACCGAGGTGCCGTTGTGAATCCTGTCTAGACCGCCGAGCTCGTACGGTGGAGTGTGGGTGATGAGAATATCCACATCCCGCACGTGCTCGTACATCTCTACTCGAACCGAGTTCAGTGCGCTTGGTCAAGAAGGGCAAGGAAGGCTTGGCTTACTTTTGGCTTGCGCAGCGGTGTAGTTCCAAGCCCACCGCTCGAATTCAGGCGACCACTATCCTATCCCGCATCAGTTTTCGTATCCAAGTAAGCAAGAAAGGAGGGGAGGCGGGCGACTTACGGGACTGCCATGGACGCTCCACTCATAATGCCGTGTCTCGGGCCGATCCACAACAAACGTCGATGTAGCATCCAAAAGAACCTGCATCCCACATGCCTTCAGGATCCTGGCCGCTTTGAGCGGCGCAGCTGCATCGTGTGGGATACCGTACTTGGCGTTGAGTTCCCGGCCCCTCGTGTCGTGCCATTCGCCCGGCGCTGTGCAGAAATCATGATTGCCCGCGGTAATCACCTTGACGCCATGGGGCAAACTCCTACACACACCCCATCAGCATTCTCCTCAAGGTAGAAAGGTCGGGGGAAGGCGGAGGGGGAGACTTACTCTAGCCACGCAATTTGACGCTCAAGGTCGTCAGCTTCGCCAAGTGTAGTAAGGTCGCCAGCGTGCAGTAGCACGTCTCCGTCAGGTACGGGTGTCGTCTGCGAATGCGTGTCTGACAGCAGCACGAAGCGCACCCACTCCGCACCTGGGGTGGGTGGAGGCGTGGTATAGTGAGTGTACACCCGCGGCTCCGTCATGCTTGCAGATGGTGGTAAGAAGCATCCCCCCCACAAAGTGCAGCCGCGCAACGAGCATGCCCCAACCTCCACCCCAACACCCTTTGCTTTCCCCGCGCCATTTTCACACCTCACCACCTCGCCCACGCTCGCCAAAAGCGACAATGCATGCAGAAACAAAGACGATACAAATACAAAACACCGCACGACAAGTCCACCTGTCCACCACGGCTGGGTCAAAAGTACACCCGGATCGCCTGGTTGACGTAGCTCTCCGTCGGGCAGTACGGACACTTGAACCTGCCGTTGCCCTTGGCAAGCCGATTGAGCGTTTCCAGACACAGCACGTGTCCGCACGCCAGCATCATGGGTGGATTCTCCTCGGTCCCCTGCTCCTTGCTCACGGGACACGCAAAGATCGAGTGGAAGCGCAGCCTGTTCGGCAGCGGGATCTCGATGGGCAGTTCGTCCGCCTGGCTCCACTCGTTGCCGCTCTCCTTCATCACCGCCTTGACCTTGATGATGCGATTCAGCGCGCCGCCTGCACCCACCTCGACGCCGATCGCAAGCGGAGCCTCTTTGGCGATCCGATGCCGGGCGCAGAACTCGAGCTTGAACAACGGCTCTAGCAGCGGCGCGTGCACCAGTCGGGTGTCCAGGAGCGGGCGGTAGATGAGCGGGACCGTGGGGATGAGGTGCTCGACGGGCACAGAGTCGACGCCTTCAGGACCGTACGCGGGCGCAGGCAGGAACGCGGGCAGGAAGGCAAGCAGCGTGAATAGACGCTGGATCTCGGCCAGGTGCGTGGTGCGGAACGGTTTAAAGTGCTCGCGCCCGTACGCGAGTGCCTGCTCCACATTGGTACGCGCCATTGCCACCACCACCGCATGCGACGGCGCCGATGCAGCCGCAGGCAGTGCATCGATGGATGCGCTCAGCATCTCGACATTCTCGCCGTCCGGATCGCGGTTCTCTGCCACGCCCCCGTCGCTTCCAGGCAGGATGGTGCCCGCAGCGATGCGGATGAACTGGCTGCGATGCAGTGCGAACTCGAGTGCGCTCTTGCGCGATTCGAGGAACGGCCGGTTCTCCTGCGCCCACTGGATCGCCGGCCTCAGGTCTCCGCTACCCATCGCCGCCGTGACAGTGTGCAGCTGCACGTACAGCCGCTCGGTCTCGGACGACAGCGCCAGCCCCGCTTCGCCGGCGAACTTGAGTGCGGTGTCCCAGTCGCCCGTGCGCTGGAGGTGGTTGAGAGCCACACGTTCCAGCGCCGCCTGTGCTTCCGACGACGAGAAGAGCGCCGGATCAGCCACACCGTCGATGGGAATGGGGAACTTCTTGTCCAGCGTCTTGGTCGCCTTGCCCAGCGCAGCGTGGAACTCCTTCTGCCGGTCCAGGATTGACTTTTGCGCCGACTCGACCGACGCTTTGAGCTCGGCCACCACCACGGCCGGATCGGCGGCTGCAGAGGAAGACGAGAGGGCGGCTTTGGCGGCTTCGATGCGTGCGATCAGACGGTCGATCGAGTCGTGCACGGTCGGCGTGGTGGCAGCCGCCTTGGCAGACGACGAGGCCGAATGCAGCCCCGGCGCACGCTTGGCCAGCTGCTCGAGCGACTTTTGCACCGCCTCCATCGCGTCGCTGGTCGGTATTGAATCGATGCTCGGATGGCGGTGTAGGGGTGATTGAGCGAGATGGAGGATGTGAGGTGGGGGGTTAGCAGGAGAGGGCGGCTGGCTCAGCTGTTCTCCGCGCGGCCAAAGCGTCCGCACTGATGCAGCCGCTGCTCTCGCTTGCTGCACGCCTGCATCAAGGCGCCGCGCCGAGCCCAAAATCCCAATTTCACGCAATCGAGCCCACCAAAGGGCTGCTCGATTCGCCTCACCTTTTTTTGCACAGCGTGTGGAGTGAGTCCGGACCCTGATCCTGATCCTCCTCGCACCCCGCACACGCTTCAACCCTGCGAACCAGAAACGAAACAATAGCATTGCATGCAAGATAAGGAGCAATGAGCGACCGCTTCAGTCCACCACCACGTATCGACTCTTGATCGGCCGCTTCTTCACCGTGCCCGTCCTCGATCCGCCCGGCGGTGGCGCAGGCGGCGACGCGAGCCCCGCCGGCGTCGAGCTGCCCGATCCCCTCGCGCCCAT